ATCCATCAAGTACTGTGCAATTAATTATTACAGCTTCACATATCCTGATAGGTTAGAGGGACTATAAACCTCTTAACTATGTCCAAAGAACTGAAAGACTCCAACCAAAGGCAAGGAGAAGTCAGTAACTGGCAAGGTTGGAGTGGAAAGCAGGAGCAGCATTAGAAGGGAGGGGATGAGCACAGGCATCAGTAAGTGTCAATGTTGGTGAAAGAGGTGGTGAGTTGGAGACGATGGTGACAGGGAAGTGGCAAGAGGGAGGGTTGTGGAGGAAAGTTGGAAGTTGGGCAGTTGAGAATTGGGACACAGTGAGCAGGAGGTAAAGTGAAAGATTACTGAGTTATTAAGAGTTAGAGAGTCAGTTCATACCATTAATCTAGTCATTCTGCAGTAGAAAGTTTTCTTAGAATTTTTGAAGGAAGATAGATACCAAAAAACATCTGACGGGTTAAAAGCATAGGGGCATTTCAAGAGTGTTTGTTTTGGATTCCTCGCCCAATGACATCTAAATAACAATGCAAAGGTTCTTTTCTTCATTTTGAGCTTGTCAATTTGAAACATACATACCTCATCCTGAATTGATCCATCCCTACTAATTCAATTTCTGAAAAATGACTAAAATACAAACTAACAATACAAGAACGCTCTTGTATGGTAGTGCAATATTTATGGAATGGTATTTAAAGATTAGAAATTGAGAGGTCAAATGTTACCATGATAATGGTGGACTAGCATATTGTCATGTTAACAGTAGGGTGGTAATCTTTCTTATTCTTCCATACACATGGTAACATCAAAAAACTGTAACTTCTTCTCTGGTGGTAGCATACATCAGCATGGCACCTCAATATTGGTGCAACACAAATTTCAATCTGCAGATAAACGGAAACAATAAATTAGGGGAACAAGGACGGGGAGAAGGAGGAAATATTTCAACGTGATTGGCTGCTTACTCTGGTCGCTGAAATTACTATTGCTGGAGGCTTAGAGCTTCACTTGACTTGGTGCCAAATTCATACTATTGGTGGACAAGAGGAAATCCCTACCACAGGGATCTGTAGAGATTTGTGGGAAGCTGTCTGCAAGGTCAGTGACATGCACCGTTGTTTTACCACTAATCATGAAATTAGGCTAGCATATCCTATAATAGTGATGCAACTAAATTTTGGCTTACACTTTATAATATGCAACTGGATTTTAAGCTTCCCGATAGATGTATATATGAACAATATAATATAGTTCTTACAAATATACATTTAATTAATGTAAATTAACGATAAATGATCAAATATTTTAGAAATTAACTGCAGACACAATGTACAAAGACTATTATAAATTAACTTTCCACTGTTAAACTGGATAGTTCCTTTGTGGCACAACATAGCAGCCCACGATGTACTTAAAATAGCCAATACATTTTAAATAATTTGCGGTTCAAAGTATACCTTTTAAAGAAATTGCTATGTATTTGATTTTTGAATCTATACCAATTCCTAATTATCCAGAGGGCAATTAAGAGTCAACTGTACATGTAGGGCAGACTACAGAAGGACAGCAGTTTCCTTGAAGAATATTAATGAACCAGTTGGATTTAACTGACTATCGACAGTGATTCGTTATAGAATTCAAATTCCACTGTCTGCCATGACATCATTTGAACCAAGGTTTCGCAGAACATTACCTTGGTCAAATAGGCCTCGATTAGTGTGGTGCTTGGCAATAATTTTCAGGCTGCCTCCACAACACTACAATCAATCTACAAGGCTGATATACACACAACTGTATGAATCAGGTGCAGAAATAGGCCATTCAGCTTCTCGTGCTTGCTCTGCTTTTCAATGAGATCATGACTGATCTGTTTGTGTTTCAAATTCCACATTCCTAACTACATCTGATATCCCTGAAGAACAACAATTTATCTAACTCTGCCTTAAAAATAAGTCCATCTTCTGAGGTAGAGATTCCAAAGTCACACAACCCTCAAAACAATTTCTCATTTGCGCTGTCAAAGGGGGACACCCAAGTTTTTAAACAATTCCCCCTAGTTCTGACTGACCCACAAGTGAAAATTTCCTTTCCATGTCCAATCTGTCAATCAAGCCACACCTCACGCTTCTAAACTCTTAGCAGCAACAAGTCCAGCCTATCCAAACTTTCCTCATCAGACAACCTGCTCATTCCAGTCATCAATCTAATAACTCTCCTCTGAACCACCTCCAATGCATTTACATCTTTCCTTAAATGGGAAGACCAAAATGACCACTGCAATAGCCATAATCAATCTGTGCAGGCCCATCCACAGCTTGGAGCCTTCCTTATATGAAACCTTCTTCAGATTTGCAAGAGTGCCTGCCAGAATGGCTGGCATAAACAGACAATCACTAGCTCAGCAGCATCATTGTTAGCAATAGTCAATAGTGAGGCTTCAGGACAAAGAACTGGGTCATCAAATGCTGAGGTACCTTCATAGATGGGACAAGTATTCTCAAGAAGACAGGTAGGACCCGGCAATCAGTAAGATAATGTGAGAAGTCATATTCCATTGATGGTGCCTTCAGGAAGTAACCCTTAATTGGGTACTTGAGGATTCCACATAAACTGCTGATTAAGTAACAACTTGACTTGAAATTCTCATCCTCATTTTCAAATGCCTCCAATGGTCTTGCCCGTTCTTGGTTTTTGTAATCTTCGTAATCCAGCCCCACAACCCTTAAGAAATCTACACTCATCTAATTTGAGTCTCTTGAGCATTCATGATATTAATTGCTTTACCATTACTAAACAGAGTTCTGAACTTTGGAGTTCTCTCCTTAAATTTCTCTGCCACTTCCAGATGGTCCTTAACCATGCTTCTTGACCATGTCTTTGGTAATTTGTCCTGATATTTCCTTGTGTACTAAATTTTGTTTGCAAACACTCCTGCGAAGTGCCTTGGGGTGTATTACCACATTAAAGATGCTAAACAAATACAAGCTGTTGATGCTGTAGCTACATTTAGTTTGACAATTTGCCTACATGAATAAGTTATCTCAAAATTACACCAAAGATTGATTCAAAGCAGAAACTGAGTACAGAATTAGATACAAACACAGAGAATGCTGGAGAATCTTAGCATGTCTGGCAGCATCTGTGGAGAGAGAAACAGAGTTCACATTGGTTTGATTGGAGGGTCACCACGCCCCAGGCGAAGGGAGAGGCTGAGGAAGAGAATCCTTCATGGTAACTTCAGCCACTGCAGGAATTGAACCAATGCCATTGGCGTTACTCTGCATTACAAATCAACTGTCCAGCCAATGGAGCTAACCAACCCCGTGAAGATGAGGTATTGCAAGGTTGAAGTCACTGTTACGTACATGACCCACATGTTGGCATTAGATAAGTCAATAACATTAATCATACTGTATGAAAAAAGTAGTAGAATTTGTGCTTGTGAGTTAGTGATGTTCCAACTTTACCAATCTCACTGTGTTCTCAGCAGCCTACTGTACACTCTGTACACCCACGACTATGTAGCCAAATTCCAAACAAACACCATCTGCAAGTTTGCTGACAGGCACCACTGTGGTAGAACAAATAGCAAACAATGATGATTCAGAATACAGGAAGGAGATAGAGGGCTTGGTGTCATGGTACAATGGTGCAATGATAATAAGCCCTCTCTCAATGTCAGCTAAACAAAAGAATTGATCATTGATTTCAGGAAGGAGGACGACACGACCCCATCTACATCAATGGAGCTGTGGTGGAGAGGTTCGAGAGTGTCAAGTTGCTGGAAATGATGACAATCTGTCCTGGACTTCCCTCATCGATGCTATGGTCAAGAAGGCACAACAATGCCTCTTTTTCCTCAGGTGGCTTAGGAAATTCAGCATGTCCATAGGAACCCTCACCAACTTTTACAGATGCACCATAGAAAGCATACCCTCTGGGTGCAAAACAGCCTGGTACGGCAATTGCTCTGCCCAGGAACATGCAAAACTACAGAAGGTTGTGTGCACAGCCCAGACCATCATGGAAGCCAACTTCCCATCTATGGACTCCATTTACACTTCTTGTTGCTGCAGACAGGCTGCCAACATCATCAAATACCCTTCCCACCTTGGTAATGATCTTTTCCGACCTCTTCGGTCAGGCAGAAGATGTAGAAGCTTGAATACACGCACTAACAGGTTCAAGGACAGTTTCTTTCTTGGTGTTATTAGACTGCTGAATGGACTTCTCTACCTTCAAATAACGTTGATCTTGCTAATGTAGATCTTGCTTTGCACGCCTGCTGTGCAGCTGTGTTTTTGTATGCCTCACTCTGTCTAAGCACCCTATGATCTGTAGGTCCTTGTTTGCTAATGATCTGCCTGTACTGCTTGTAAAACAAAGCTTTTCACTGTACTTAGGTACATGTGACTACAATAAATCAAATCAAATCCATGCCTAGAGATAGTAGGAACTGCAGATGCTGGAGAATCCGAGACAACAAGGTGCAGGGCTGGATGAACA